TAAATTACAAAAATTTGTATCTCTTTGATATTTTTATATTATTTGCCTGTTCCTGGAACCCTTTGAAAACATTCTCTAGAAATTTGATGTATTTATTTAGATACTAAGAATTTGAATCTTTCGTTAACTTCATTTAACTGGCATATTAATAAAGAAGGAACAGCTATGGTGATTTTTATTTTAATTATGATATAAAGAAATTTTAATGGAAAAGAATGCATTGAACATACAAAAAAATTTCTGAAAACAAGATATTAGTAATAATCCATAAATTAGTTTATCTGTCTTAATTCACTCAAAAACTATTGATATGAATTCTTTTATGTAAAATTAAATACATTTATTATATTTTAACACTTTCTTTTTTATTTAATTTATATTTTAACTCTTTTTTTTTTATTAACTTCAGTTTTAATGTTAGAGAGGTTGCAGCCGACATTTTTATCGCAAAAACGTGTAAGTCCAACATATATGTTTTTGTGATGAAAACATCGGTTGCAATCTCTCTAATATAATAACTGTTTTATAAAATCATTTAATTTAACTAGAATATTTTAAATCTTAGAATTAGAATTTATTCTATTTAAATTAAGTGATGAATTAAACTTGTAAAATAATTTCTATAAAAGCATTTTTGAGGCAGAACATTAGTGAAACCTGTTCTATATAGTTTACAACATTGCATTCTGTTTCAAAATTTGATTGATTGATTTTGAGAAAACTTTGCCGTTTTCTATTTACTGTGATGAGGAATTCAAAAAGTTATAGAAAGGGGGGTTTAAGACTTTATTTTCGAGATACAATATCCTAGCATGAGTGCATGTGACAAAATGATATCACATGAATTGTGTGATTTTTGTAAGACTGTCTGTGACCATCAGGTACAATGATTGCTTCTTTCTTTCCAGCTCTGCCTCAATTGTATTGTGATACAACAGAGTTCCACGATGTCCTAGTAATGCTTTATTAAGGGACAGTTATTACCAAAAGATAATCACTTAAATGTTTTTATGCTTAAAAGCTAAATATACTTTAATCTAAAGCCTATTGATGTTATATTAAATCTGTTAATACTTAATTTCATTAATACAATATTAAAAAAGAAAAATGAAATGTTTTTATTATTAATAATAATAATTATATTTAAGTGGAAAAATTATATTTTAGTAGTTCTTCCCATGATTTTTTATTTATTTAATTCTGTGTACTGTATTTTTACATATTATATGAACACCTGCAAAAATTATCAATATATATTTCATTACTTACATTCTTTAAATTTTCCTAACAAAATTAACAAACTTCTAAACTGCATTCATCTAATAATTACTATTTTTTATTGTTAATAGTGTTATAGAAGTCCATATTATATGAAGGATACTTATACTAGCAATTTATCATATACTGAAACAAATGTAATAAACATTTGTTTCAGAATCTGTTTAGTTTTTTTGGTTACTTTTTGAAATGCTAATCTGATTTTTGTAGATGTTAATAAGTGCATATTTCAGCATTTATCTAATGATACTAACATTTTGTGTCATGTCTAACAGCTTACTAGCATATGGCATAAAACAAAACAGCTGAATGTTTCCACACTTCTGTGGTCTGCACTTTTTTGAATATGAATTTCTGATTAAAAAGAACACCTTTTGAATGAATGAATATCAATTTTAACAAAATAGTTTTATTAAATAAACATTTTTGTAACTAATAACACAGAAAAAAATGTATGTTTTACATTTTGAATTTAAGAATAAATATTTAAGGCTGTAAAATATAAATGAAATCAAATACAGAAGTAAGTTAAAATGACTAATATTTTTTAGAGAAAAAAGTTTCAAAGTATGGGTTCCTGCTGAAATGCTTCTCTGATTATGTTACTAGATTATTATCATATTTTATAATGAAAATGAGTGCAATATGATGCACTGCTTAAAAATCAAACTTCATAATTGTTTTTATTTATAATAATTTTAGCTGCAAACTTAAAATAATAAATCATCAACCCAGTAATAAAAACGTTGTTGGTAATAATACAGTATAATTTTATTTTCTGATATTTGCAGCACTATGCTTAGCTGTAAATTTGTGTGTAAATCTGTACACAGATTGGATGTGGGAAATGTAACGTGCAGATGGCCAAGATGACTAAGGTGACAGTCTATCACTCTAGGGAGAATTTAATTTAAATTTGAGTTAGGATCCCAGGAATTTTAAGAGTGAAAGTCTCAGATATGTCAAGTTTCATCTTTCCCCATATATCACTTCCCTTGTGAGTCTGGCTGAATCCATGATGAGTATGGAAAATAGGTCCTCTTAGCACCTACAGGACAAAGAGCCAAAAATTATAAAAGAAAATTTAAAAAATACAGTAAACTTTCCCATATCTGAACTAATGTAAGTGGGAATGATTTGGATATTAGAAAAATCTGAATAAGGGAGTGTGATAATTTTTAAATAAGATTGTAACGTATGTGCCTGCTGTATGTACAAGTACTGTACATGTTCATTTTGACTTCGATGCTTATTTTTGACAATTACAATTAATTTTGAAAGTATTTTGTTAAAATTGTTTGTTCTTGATTCACTAACAAGCTGCTAAATCATGCCAATGCCTCATTATTATGTAAATGCTGTTTAATGCATTGTGCTCTTCTATGAACTTCAAGGCAGCCTTAACATAAACAAAAAATTTAAATTAGACACTGCAATAAGGAAAGGTAATATTCAGAACAGGAAATATTTTTGAAATTTTTGATTGTTTTTTGATCAGTATGGATAAAGGAAAGGACAGATATGGGAGGGTTGGAAGTGGAAGTCTACTGTATGTAAAAATTACCATTGAGACATTTTGTAAAAGATGCTTAATTTCCCTGTAATGCTGATATCTCTTAGATTAATTTTAATTTGAATAATTTTAGCTTTATTTGAGTTAATATCTGTTTTTTGAGTGAATGTTTCTTAATATTTTACATGTTTACATGCTAAATCATAGAAGTTTTAACAATAAAGTTTAATTTTTTTGAATCATTATTCTAGAAGTTTCCTAGAAGAGAGAAAATATATAGAGTCATTATTCTAAATAATTGCTTTTAACTTTTTTTATTTTATTTTATTTTGTGAAGGAAAGAAAATAAACTTCTGTTTTTTTTTGTTTTTTGGTTTTTTTTTGTTTTTGTTTATTGTATTGAATGATTCTTATCATTTGAAAAATAGAGTAGATATAGAACACCAAAATTGAAATGAAAATATGAACATTTGAATGCATTTATAACTCACAAGCAAATAAAAAACAAATATTGATACAATGTGAAAATAAAATGACATTAAAAATAAAATAAAAATATCAATTAAAAACAACATACTATACATACAAAATTTCCAGCAAATAATATGTATTTGAATTAAATACAAAATGGAACGTTTTCAACCCCTTTTAGGGGCCTGTATCAAGTGTTGAACTTTACAGCACAGGTTCTATAAAGTTCCTTGACACTCGATGATCAATTTTCCAGAAGCTCAGAAATCATAATTTATATTTTATTGGAACTTACATTAACTTTGTAACTTATTAAATTTTTGACAGTTTAACTGATTTTTCGTTTTCGAATGTTATTTAAAAATCCTTTTGTGTATCATAGCGTGTGGAAGGAAAATAATTTTAAATAAGCATGTCTTAGGAAAAATAAGGCCGTAAAAGAGCCCAGAACATGCATGAAGTATAAGCTATGTCAAAAAGACATCTGAGTAGCAAAGACTTCAACATCGTGGATTGAGTTGTTTAATTAAAAGCTGTTACCCAAATTTCTGGTAATTTGAGAGTTGGGGAGTTGCACGGTTCAGTGGCAGAAATATAGACTTCCCAAATAAATAGCTCTTTATGTTCATTGCAGCATTTCAGTGATTTTGTATTTTTATTAAATTATAACTTTATATAGTATAAAGTTAATTTTTAATTTATAAATTTTTCTTTAATGTTTCAGGAATCAGTCGTAGTGTTTTTCAGAAACTAAGAAATTGTAATTATTGATATGAAAGAAATATCATAATTGGCATTTGTATGTCTCTGTAAATGAGACATACAAATTTGGTTTTCACTATTATACAAATAATTTTTATAAATTATTAAAGAATATATTCCTAGATGTATTTTCTTGTAATTATGATTAAAAATTATGAAATGTTTAATTCAGTGATAAACAATCATTGAAATAAAGTTGAAGTTATTCAAACTGAGAATATTTAAAAGGAATTGATATTACAAAGATATCTTAAAGATTGAAATTCTGCATTTTAAACAATAGATGGTGAATTACCTTATTCATCTGAATTGTGCTATCTAACTTTGTGTGTTTTTGTGCATAATATGTAATAAAAACCCTCTTTGGATTGTTTAATTTTACTTAATGTATTTGATTTGCAAGTGTTTATGCTAGCAAAGACTATCAAAAAGTGAAAAAATTGAGTGTTATTATTTTAATAGATAAAATTAAAGTTCTGATGGTAAAAAGTAAAGGCATTATATGAAATACTTTGTTAAAAAACATTTTTTCATCAGAAACACATACAGAAAAAACTAGGAATAATTAGTTTAAAAGATAATTATAAGATATATAGTATTATAAATTTTTACTTGGATGAAATGTAATTTTACCCTAGGATTTAAGATTTTCATTGTGTTACATTTTGAATTTATATTCTTCATATAAATGTTAATTTTTGCAAATTTAGTCTGATTAAGTTAAAAAATCCAAAATTGATGATCTTTTATTCAGTATTTTAAAAATTTTTGATTTTTCAATAAGAAAAATGGAGAAATGTTAACAGAAATACTTAGAAAAATGATGAATTTTGTAACTCTTTTGAATAAATATTAATTCTTCCAAAAAAGAATTACAAAATCTTTAATATTTTCATTTTTTAGTTAAAAGTAGTATGTATTTAGAATAACAGTACTATATTTCTAATATTTACAATGCTTATAAATGTATTTACAGGTAAAACCAAACCAGGCTTTAAATCCAAATGCTGATGTTTTCTATAGTAAGGATGAAGTTATTTCTGAAGAATTACTCTCAGATATAAATGCTGAAGATCATACTTGCTCGTTAACTGATGAACAATTACCAGATGATGTCTGTACACAAGATGGTAAGTTATTTTTTCTGTTTATATTAAATAACATGAAAAAATATTTTGAGTTTTAAGTATAAAAGAATGCATAATATAGTTTAAATCAGCTATTCTCAAGTTTTTTTTCAGTTATGGTTTCTTTTGAGCTTTTCTCAACTTTAATAATGACTCCTTCATTTTTTTTTACCATATGATTTTGGTAAACATATTGAAACAATGTATGTTTCCTAAAAAATATTTTCTTATATCAGTCCTTTCAAATGTAGATGTATTTTCAGATACATCTGCATTTAGTACGTCAGATATATTACTAGTTTACAGATGAAGTTGTTGAAATAGAAACTAACAATGAAACCTTACATTTTTATTTACACAAAAGGAATTTAGAAAAAATAAAGAAAATTAAACATTGAGTAAATAAATAAAACAAACAAAAAGAGATTAAAATATAATTTTAAAGTTAAAAACAAGAAATTCAAAAGAAATGGGATAAGGTGAATATTGGAGTATAAACAGTAAATAATAAACTGATCAAACAACAAAGCACAATCTTTATTGATTAACAAGGAGCTTTATAAATAAATATAAAATTTTCTTGTAAAGATTTAAAACTCCAAGGATAAAATAAATATTTAAAAATATTGTAAAGTAAAGATTAAATAAAAACTCTTTCCAAATGCACTTTACTGCTTTGATGCATATAAAATCACCATATACTTCAATCACTAGCCAAACTGAATGGTAGTAAAGTAGAGAAGGCTCTACCTGCTCATATCTTTGTAATAGCTAACTTGCTACATGCCTCCTTTTTGGGACTTTTATGGGAATGAGGCCCTTATTTTTAAGTAGTGAATTGGTTTTCAAAGATCATAAAAAAAATCCAGCAATGAGTGCATAACTTTCCTGGAAATACAGTTAAAATTGTTCGGTGCCATCTGTTAGGAGATTTTATTAAAAAAAACTTATAATATTATAACTTATAAAAACTTAAGTAATGTAAATTTTTAGGCTGTGTAAGATCATCATTAAATTTTATCACTATCAAAAAAATTATAGCGTGTACATTACTTTTTCAATTGTCTATCACTTGTTTTTATTTATTTCATCCTTGACCTTCAGGAGAATTCTTGGTTCATGTTGAAAATGGCTGATTTAAATAATCTTGAAATGTAAATACTATTGTTATTCTTTCAATTATTTTTTATCAAGTATTAGTTACTGTTAATGTCAGTATTAATTTTGGATATAGATATCAACCTTTTAATGAATTGTCTTTTGCAATTAAATTTTGATGTTTGGAAGATCTAAACTATACTGTAAACAAATAAAAAGTAAACTTAAAGTTTAGAACAATGTTTTTTAAAGTGGTTTCCATGGAATTGCTGATGGGGTTCATGGCAAATTAAAATTAATTTGGGGTGCACGGACAATGTCAGGGAGTGGAAGTGAAAGGTTTAATATAAAGTTAAAATAAGCTGAGAGCTTCATAAATTGCATACATTATGACATTTTAGAATTTATTTTGTTCATAGAATTTTATACATTTATTTAAGTTTTCTTTCCAAAACAGTGATAATTATTGGTTATTTTTCGTAACTATAAAAGCTATTTAATGACTAAAAATATACAAGTAATTCATTTATTTTGATCAAAAATGTGTTTTTCTATGAAAATTCAATAGATAAAATTAAAAAAACATTTGTAATTTTGCTATTATGTAGTTGTGTAGAGTTATTTCACTTGGGTTTTCATTGTCAAATTTTTGTTATGAGAAGGGCATAATAAGTTTGCGAACCNTTGAAAAACAGGCAAGTTTTAGTTAGTAATTTCAAAAAAAATTACATGAAATATTAAAAAGTTTTATTTATATTTTATTTTTATGTCAGTATTTACCATTCAAGACATCAAAATTAAATTTGTAATTTTGCTATTATGTAGTTGTGTAGTTATTTCACTTGGGGGTTCATGGTCAGGTTTTTGCTATGAGAAGGGGTCTGTGGGCATAATAAGTTTGGGAACCATTGGTCTAGAACATGTATGTTTATAACATTAAAAGTGAAGTCTTAAAATATCTTAACAATTTTAATTAGAAAAATTCACTAAAAGAAATATTTAGATGCTTTTTTTTTAAATTCCAGAATTGACAGGCTAAGAATTTCAAATTAAATTCAGAGCTAATCTTTCTTGCAATAATGTTTTTTTATTATAGATAATATTACAATCTCAATTATATTTGTGTTTATTTAAAATTTTTTAACAAAGTGGGAATCTGCCATTTTTAAAGCAAGTTTTTCTAGTTAAAATTATCTATATAATTCGTGTTCAAGTAATCTGGTTATAGAAACTAGGGAAGGGTCAGCAGTCAATTAAATATTAAAATCTTAGCACAAAGCTTATTATAATGTATCTGTGTTCTATTCTATACATTATAGATAAAAACAATGTAGCGTAATAGTTTTTCATTAAAAACTATATATAATGAGAATGGTAGATGGTTATAAAAGAATTCTTTAAGTAAAATATATGTGAAAAATAAATGGAGCAATAATAAAAGTTAATTTAAAAAGTTATAAATAAAACATCAGTGGTAATGAAAATTAATTACAGAACAACAGTACAGTTGGTATCCTATGTGTTATAATCTTGGAAAAGATTATTGCACTACTTTCATTTAAAAAGTTTATTCAGTTTTCATTGGATAACATCTTGTTCTGGATACTTGTTTCTAAATTTTTTAGAAAAATTCATCAAAACTATATATTATAATTACACCATAAAAATTCCAGCAATGAGTTGCTTAACTTTCCTGGAAACATTTGGTGCTATGTCTGTTATGGTATTTTATATAAAAATCTTTTATATTTTTAATTATTATAAATTTTAAAGCTTAATTTTGAGGGTAAGGTTGGGTTTTGTAAAAAAATTGTAAATGCTAATAACAAGTAAAATTATCATTAAGTCCAACACTACTGGACTTATATATATGACCCCTATATCTCCCCATCCACTTGACCTTTAATTGCCAAAATTTAATATCATCAATCCCCCTAATAAACAAACCTCCCAGCAAAATTTCAGAAATTTTCGACAAAAAGTTCAGGAGTTATTAAGATTCAAAGAGAGTGAATAAATTCTTTACCCCCACACATACTGACAGCCATACAGAAAAAAATCCCCAAATTTTTTTGCATCTCTCAACATTTTAAGGTAAAGCCCAAAAATTAAAAATGGGGGGTAAAAATGTATGGTGATTTGTAAAAAAAATTTTTTTACTGATCACCATACTTTTCCTCTGTTATATAACAGCCAGGAAAGTAATAGACACGATTAATTGTAGACATATTTTTAATTTGAGTGTCCTGTGGTTTTTTTTTGAAAAATTGGTTGCTAAATTTTTTGTCTTAAGCCAAGTGAATTAGCAACTTTTTAAAAAAAATTCACGTTATTGTTATAACATGAATTTTTGTGCATCAATTATCCTGATTTGTCTGTTGATATTCTATTTTCAAAGAAATTCATAATCTCCAGTTTATTACTTTGCAGTTTTTGTAACTTTTTTTCATAACTTTAGATTTTTAAGATAGAAAATGATAAATATTTAAATTTATATNTTTAATATCTACTTAAGAATTTGTATTTCATTTTGTACTAAATAAATACTAAATGTCTACTGCTGTTTATATTTTTTATGACATGCCACAACACGCTTTATGAGCTATAATGTGCATTCCATTTTCATTTATTTTGAATGAACCAGATATGCTGTAGATATCCAGTCAGTATAGTTGAAGAATATGGATTGATAACATTAAAAATTTTCTTGCTAATTTTGGTTATCATCATTTGTAATAAAAATTCAATTAAACACAATATAATAATAATTTCATAAACATCTAAATGACAAATTAGTAAATTTTCTTTATTCAATATAATTAGATCAATGTACAATAGCTCATATGTCAAATGATTTCCAAAGCAATTTAAAATATTATAATTAAGTCTAAATTTTTACAGCTTCTCTATTCTTAATTCCAATGGTTTTATTCATTTTTTTGAGAACATAATAATTCAACAACAGTAATTGAAATAATTTGTCACTACTTATATGTAATGCTGCCATTTGCTAAAAATATATGAAGACACTAAATACACCTTACACACTTTTTCAGCAACCAAATTTAATCAAAATCAACATTTTCAGCCCCCTTGATAAATCTTTGTAAGGTTAGAAAACAAAATTTAAATAGAGATTCTATTTTTAGAATAAAATATTCTTTGACATAAATTACATCTTTTGAATCCTAACAGATTTTTGATTTTCCAATATTAAAAAAATATATATAAAATAAAATAAAAGTACTGTATAAAAAAATAAAAATAGAATACAATTAAGGATAAAAATAAAATAAAACTAAAAATAAATGAAATAACCGTACTGGCTACAAAGATGCCATTGTTTTCATTTTATTTTTACTTTTATTTTAATTTTCTCAAAATTTTACTATGCAAATATTCACAATCATGATTTGGATCATTTTCATATAGCAAAAGTTAATGCAAGTACAATAATTCCTCCATTTATACAAATTCACCTTAATGCAGCTGAAAAATTTTAAAATTTTAAATAATAAACTTTATGGAAATAAGTGGTAGTTATATCAAAATGTTTTTTCAGTTATCAATAACCTCTTATACAGATGTATATTTTTTAAAAAAATATTTAAAAAACATTATACAGATGTATATTTAAAAAAAAGAATAAAATACTGTATTTGAGGATATGGAACAAAATTCCTATTTTAAACAGCTTCCATGGCCCCATTTACACAGTTCATTTACACACTGTTTTCCTAGAACCAATTACTCAAATAAATAAATTTATTAATGTAATATAAAAATAATCAACATCAATAGTCATTTCTTTTTATTAAAATATTAATTTAATTTCTATTGTTATAATTTTTAAATTCCTCAAAAATTTAGCTATACAATTTCTACAAAACTGCTGGTATAAATTA